AGGTGTGGGAAGGGGCGCCATTGGACTGATGAATGCTTTTCCACAATAGACAGACAAGGTAGATCTTTACAGCAGGGAAACGGGCTTCCGGGGCTCCATGGAGCCCCGAAGAGAAAGATTATCCGGTCATTCCCAGTGACAGTGGAGGACAGCCTCTCCCAGGACAATTAGAAGATCCACTGCCCATTGTAAATAATACGGCACTGGATAATACATTAGCTCCAGAGGATGAATCAATTACATCAGGAGGAGATACAAAACATATATTTTGGCAAACTTCTATACAATATCATAGACCCAAACTTCCGGTTAAGGTAAATAATAGGGTGATTTACGGATTACTGGACACCGGAAGTGACGTCACTATCCTTAATCAGCAGTCCTGGCCACAAAACTGGGCTTTAAAAGAGGTTAATGTTCAATTCTTAGGGATCGGAACCCTATCTGAAGTTAAACAGAGCGTTAGATGGATTGACTTTATTGGGCCAGAAGGACAGAGAGGAAGGTTAAAGCCATACGTTGCAGATATTGCTATAAACCTCTGGGGTCGTGATCTACTCCAGCAATGGAATACGCAGATTAAAATTCCTCCTGTATCAGCTAGGAATTATAGACAAGCTCTTAGTGGTAGTAAGAATATAGTAAGACAGTACAGAAAACAGATGCCAAACGTACAGGCTGTGCAGAAGCAAGATGCTAGTGCCAAACCTACAGAGCAACCAAAAGCTCTACCATTAAAATGGCTGACAGATGAACCCGTCTGGGTGGGTCAATGGCCTATGACATCTGAGAAGTTAGAGGCTTTGGAGAAGTTAGTTCAGGAACAGCTAGATGCTGGACACATTGAGGAATCAACTAGTGCATGGAATTCGCCTGTTTTTGTTGTCAAGAAGAAGTCTGGTAAGTGGAGAATGGTTACTGATCTTAGAGCCATCAACAAGGTAATTCAGCCTATGGGGTCTCTACAACCTGGGATGCCATTACCTTCTCTAATTCCTAAGGATTGGCCAATTATAGTTATAGACTTAAAAGATTGTTTCTTCACCATACCGTTACAAGAAAACGACAGAGAAAAGTTTGCCTTCACAGTACCTACCTATAATAATTCCCGTCCGGTACAGAGATTCCAGTGGAAGGTACTACCTCAAGGTATGTTAAACAGTCCAACTTTGTGTCAATATTTTGTGAATAAACCTCTAGAAATAATTCGTAAAAAATTTCCACATTCGTTAATATATCATTATATGGATGACATATTATTGTCTGATTCAAATAAGGATACTTTGGAAAAGATGTTTGAGGCAGTAAAGGAAATTTTGCCTCGCTGGGGATTACAAATTGCCCCAGAAAAAATACAAAGAGGAGATTCTATTAACTATTTAGGTTATAAAATAGATGCTCAGAAAATTAGACCACAGAAAGTACAGATCAGAAGAGATCGTTACCGGACTCTTAATGATCTTCAAAAACTATTAGGAGAAATCTCTCAATTACAGACGATTATTGGTGTAGAAGGGCATGATTTAAAACACCTGAAAATGGCTTTAAAAGGAGATAAAGACCTAAACAGCCCACGAGTACTATCAGCTGAGGCTGAAAAAGAATTAGAATGGGTAGAAAAGAGAATATTAGAAGCACATGTGGACCGTGTGGATCCAAATCTGGACTGTATTCTGGTTATTTTACCATCTAGAGAATACCCCTCAGGAATATTAATGCAGAGGGACGACATCATTCTAGAATGGGTATTTCTGCCACATAAACAAAATAAAAAATTGAAAACATATATAGAAAAGATATCTGATTTGATATTAAAAGGTAAATTAAGGCTTCGTCAACTGACTGGGAAAGACCCAGCTGAAATTATTGTACCGTTAACGAATGAGGAAATTTCCTCCTTATGGAAGGATAATGAGTATTGGCAAATAGCTTGCAGTGACTTTTTGGGAAGTATTAGTAATAACTATCCCAAAACAGAGAGAATCAAATTCATAAAGAAAACAATTTGGATTCTTCCACGTATCGTGAGGCAAACACCTATTTCTGGAGTTCTTACCTTCTACACGGATGCAAACAAATCAGGTAAGGCAGGGTATAAATCAGGAAATATAAGTAAAGTAGTTCAAAGCCCTTACAACTCCGTACAAAAGGCAGAGTTATATGCCATTCTCATGGTACTTAAAGACTTTACAGAGCCTCTCAATATAGTCACGGATTCTCAGTATGCAGAAAGAGTTGTCCTGCACATTGAGACTGCAGAATTTGTTCCTGATAATACAGAATTAACCTCATTGTTTTTACAATTGCAGGAAATCATCAGAAACAGGACTCATCCTATATATATAACACACATCAGATCCCATACAGGTCTGCCAGGTCCTCTGGCACAAGGCAATGATGAAATTGATCGTTTATTAGTAGGTAATGTGTTGGAAGCAAAATTCCTCCTGTCTTTATAGTCAGATTGGAGAAAAAGCATGAAACAAATAAATAGGAAACAAATTACAGAATTACAAGGAAAACTGGATGATATAAAAGAATACACTGGAAGACTTCATTGGGCAAGGTGATGGGAAATGTTTCTTCTGCTGGCCGCTGGGGTGAGGCTTGGGCACTCACTCCATTATCCCCATTAGGGAGAGCAGGAGGAACTTTGCAGCAGGCCCCCTGGTGACAGCAGCTGATACCATTATGCAGAGTTGGCCCAGATCCACCATCCCCACCCACCCAGAACAGCTAGCAAAACAGTCCTTATCCATAGGGCTGCCTCTTCCAAAGCACCTCCATCGCCCCACAGCTGATGGGGTTGGCCAGTCATCCCAGCTGGCTTAATTGCACAATTTCAAGAGCCTCTAATGCTTGCGGGAAATGAGACACAGGTCAGCATTACTCATGACAATAATGTTTTACTCTTAAGTTAACAATGCTTTACTCATAAGACTTATGTTTCCTGTCAACACATTCAGGAGTTTGATACAGTCACAATTGTATTTATCAAATGTCAATCTTTTCATTGTTGACATATATTAATATGTATCTTCAATGAGATTCTCCTGGTGTTTATAATCCACACTTGTCAACCTAGCAATCTAAATATTAATATTCTCACTTATTTTATAGATATTTTGTTATGAACTCTTATTTTTATTCATTAGAGGAAGGTTTTCTCCCCAAAGCTGGTTGCACTGTTATTTTGAGTCAAACAATTCCCTAACATTCTCAATGATTTCTGTGTCCTTGTGTGATATTTGCTATTACATCTGCAAACTGTTTGCATCAATTCATTTTCCTTCTCCTCCTTTTTATTTAAGTAACCATTCTCTGACCAGAAGAAGTCTACTCTTCATTCAAAACAGAAAACATACTGGCTGCTGGTGATACACAACTTTAATCTCAGCACTCAGGAAGCAGAGGCAGGTGAATCTCTGAGTTTGAGGCCATCCTGGTCTACAGAGTGAGTTCCAGGACTACCATGGTTACACACAGAAATCCTGCCTCAAACAAACAAACAAACAAACAAACACTGGACACCTTTGGTGTTCAGCTTCCTTTAGGAAAAAAAGAAAAGCTATTTCTAATCCTACCCATCTCTCTACAAACGAACCATAAGCATCAGGTTTTGAGCTTCTTACTATTGAGGTGTAAATAGAATTATTGCTTTCTATTGCTGTGATAAACCCATGACCAAAAAAACCTGGGGAGGAAAGGAGTTTATTTCATCTTACAACTCCCAGGTCACAGTTTTTCACTGAGAGAAACGAGGGCAGGAACCTGGAGGCAGGAGCTGATGCAGAGGCTATGGAGGGTGCTGCTTACTGGCTTGCTCCCCATGGCTTGCCTAGCCTTCCTTGCTTCCTTCCTTGCTTCCAAGATTTATTTGTTTTACATCCCAACCGCAGTTTCCCCCTCCGCTCCTCCCATTCTCTCCCCCCCCCAACTCCATCCACTCCTCCTCTGTTTCTGTTCAGAAAGGGGCAGGCCTCCCAAGGGTATCAACAAAGCTTGGCATATCAAGTTTAGCTAAGACTAAGCACCTCCCTTGTATTTAGGCTGGTCAATGAGCAATAGGTTTCCAAGAGCCGGCCATCAACCTGCTTTCTTACAGTGACAAGGACCACCTGTCCAGAGGAGGTACCATCCGCAATGGGCTGGGTCCACATGTGTCAATCATTAATCAAGAAAATGCCTAACAGACTTGCCTGCAGGCTAGCCTGCTAGAGGCATTTTCTTAATTGATAGTTCATCTTCCAGAACACTCTAGCTTGTTTCAAGTTGACAAAAAAACTAAGCAGCACAAGAATCATAGAACAATAGACTTGTCTTGTGGGGAAATCCAGGGCTCAGAGAAACAAAGTGTCAGTTTTTTTTTTAACAATAACAAAAACGTATACTTCTATCTTTCTACAAACTTGAAGTCTACAAACCTGAAGTGACAATTTCTCTAACCACCAACATGGGAAAGCTGTCATGCTCCATCTACTCTGCCCCTCCAGTAAAATGGTGCTCAGTCGGCCTTTCTCGCAGCTCCTAAGTAGTGTTTGAATCTGCTAACATGAATTCACCCGTGTCCCCCGTCAGCCTCGCCACAGCCCATCTTCTCTAACTTTAATAACTTACCCTTTTCGGTGTTGGAAAGCTTGAGCAGGTCCCTTGATCTGCCACACTGGGCACAGTCTAACCTAATGACTGCTCCTTTGCTTCTGTGGGGCATCAGTGGCTGCCCATGAAACCCTCAGATAGCAGGGGCTGCATGAAAGGCAGAGAATGAGAACATAAGTTCACATTTCAAACTTACTCTCAGGTCACTCTGCCTCTCTGAGTAGACATGGGTCTTTCAGATTCCTTGTAGGCGCGTTTTACTTATGTCTCGGTGGAAATGACCTCACAACCATTGCAGTATATAGGTATATCATATTTTAAATTCTATAAAGTAAACTGCTGTCCCAATAGTCTATTCAGGGGATCTTCCAATCGCATTTTTTCTTTAATTTTAGGAAGGGAGAGTGCCAATTCAGTCCTTCACTAACACAAATTGTGGCGTGTCTGGGGAAACCATGGGGTCAGCACCCCAGGAATGAAATGGATGAGCTTTGCCCTGGGGAAGCCACCTTTATGAACGTGGGTCTCTCCTGCAAGGTAAATATGGCCCTGTAAGTTTCTGTTTTACCTTTTGAAAAATCATACGCTTGTGATTCTAAATAATTTTTTCCTTTTCTTTTTTCATTCCTCTTATGTTTTGTTTCTGATGTCTTAATCTCTCTATACTTGTATATACTGAGTTGAGACCTACATATTTGTCACCAAAATGAAAACAAAATCTATCTGTTCCTGTCATACTTGTAATAATATTATTTTTGTGGGCTACAACTTACATATGCTCTTTTCCTTATTTATACACAATACTGGCCTTAAACCTGAAATACAATTTATATAAAGGCCATTTTAAACAATGACACAGTTGATTGTAGGTATTTCAAAAAACAATAAAGCATAAAGAAAAACTAGAATTTGTAGACTTCTAATATTAAGAGATAGCAAACTGCTATTTTTTAGAAAGTAGCTTTTGTTTTCTGTCTGTCCTGGTATTTTCCTAAGATAAAGCAGACTATGATGTATACTTCTAATTGTGTCCCTTTGCCTTTCTAAACCTTTGCTTCTCCATAAACATTAGACCCCTCATCCTGTTGGCCCTCTTCCTTCACTGATTCTGCACAGAAACTTTTTGCTTATTAATGTTTCATTAGCATTTTCCCAGGCAGTATATTTTCAGCATTTCTATTGTTATGCATATTGCATTGGGTTGCATGAATATGCGTGCCTTATTTCAAGCTTTCCCTGTAAAGCATTGGATTCTAGTCACATTTGCCTTGAGTTTTTGTGTATTTTACACAGCTGAAATGCAGCTTGTAGACTGACTCTCTTTTTATGAGGCTTATGCCTCATTGTATTGATGTCTATCTCCTAATACAAAAGCACTTATTCCAGATCTTTTTAGGAGTTCTGCTACTGGCTTTATAATCGTCAAAGTCCAGTTTCTCCCTAGTGTGGTTTTAGGGCTATGTTATCTCCTGACACTGGCTACAGCTAATATTTGCAGTAAAATTATGAAAAGCTAGTAGATATAATTCAAAGCCACTGAGTGCCTCCAATGGCTGCAAGGCTATGTTAGCTTCTTGGCTGAGATGGGAAAATCACTAGTGCCAGGAATTTATTTCCATTTTCTCCAGAGTCAAACCAAATGTATCTGCTGAAGCCTTATTCTACAGGAGGGGCCATATTGCAGATGGAGTGGTAGGCCAGCCTTCCAGGAACTGCTTTCAGCCTTATTACATTCTCCAGTGCTCAGACATCTGCCGTTGCCACTTCAACTCCAGCTTCCTGGGTAGAAAGAAAACACAACGCGCCTGGAGCATCAGGAGGAGTTTGGTTTCATCCCAATTTCTTTTTATTTATTTATTTTTATAAGTTAGAAACAAGCTTGTTTCACATGTCAATCCCAGCTCCCTCTGCTTCCCCTCCTCCCACGTCCTCCCCACCAGGTTCCCCAGTCCCCACCCAATCTCCACTCCGATCCCCAGGGACGGTGAGCACCTCCATGGTGGATCTCCAGTAACTGTCATTTCATCCAGGGCAGGGCCTAGGCCCTCCCAAAAGAGTCCAGCTCAGAGAGCCTCCCATATTGTGGCATCAGCACTCAAAGTCTATTTGTACGCCAGGGGTAACTACTACCCAAGGCCCCATAGATTACCTAGGCCTCCTCACTGACACCCACATTCAGGGGGTCTGGGTCAGTCCCATGCTTGCCACACAGCCATGAATCTGGGGTCCAAGAGCCCCCCCTTGTTCAGGTCAACTGTTTCTGTGGGCTAAACCAGCCCAGTCTTAACTCCTTTGCCCATCAGTTCTCCCTTTCTGACACTGGATCCCAGGAGTTCAGTTCAGTGTTTGTCTGTGGGTATCTGCCTCTGCTTTCATCAGTTGCTGGATGAAGGTCTTGTTTCCCAGACTCTCTGGCAGTGGGATTGTATGCTGGCACTCCTTTGATTCATGTCTAAAATCCATATATGAGTGAGTACATACCATGTTTCTCTTTTGTGACTGGGTTACCTCACTCAGGATGGTTTCTTCTAGTGCCATCAATTTGCCTACAAATTTCAAGATTCCATTGTTTTTTTTCCTGCTGAATAGTACCCCATTGTGTAAATGTACCACATTTTCTTTATCTACTCTTCAGTTGAGGGGCATCTAGATTGCTTCCAGGTTCTGGCTATTGCAAATAATGCTGCTATGAACATAGTGGAACAGACATCCTTGTTTTATAAATATGCATCTTTTGGGTATATGCCTAAGAGTGGAGTTGCTGGGTCTTGGGGTAGACTGATTCCCATTTTCCTGAGGAATCTCCATTCTGATTTCCAAAGTGGCTGTGCAATTTGGCACTTCCACCAGCAGTGTAGGAGTATTCCTCTTCCTCCACATCCTCTCCAGCATAAACTGTCCTTGGAGTTTTTTATTTTAGCCATTCTGACAGGAGTGAGATGGTATCTCAGAGTTGTTTAGATTTATATTTCCCGGATGGGTAGGGATGTTGAGCACTTTTTAAGTGTCTCTCAGCCATTTTAGATTCCTCTACTGAGAATTCTCTATTTAGTTCTGTACCCCACTGTTTGATTAGATCCTTTGGTGTTTTGGAGACTTGCTTCTTGAGTTCTTTTGGAGATCAGCCTTCTGTCAGATATAGGGTTAGTGAATATCTTTTCCCAATCTGTGGGGTGCCCTTTTGTCTTGCTGACTGTGTCCTTTGCCTTACAGAGGCTTCTCAGTTTCAGGAGGTCCCATTTATTAATTGTCAATCTTAGTGTCTGTGCTACTGGAGTTGTATACAGGAAGCAGTCTCCTGTACCAATTTGTTCAAGGGTGCCTCCCACTTTCTCTTCTAAGAGGTTCAGTGTGGCTGGATTCATGTTGAGGTCTTTAATCCATTTGGATTTATGTTTTGTGCATGGCGATAGACATGGATCTATCTGCATTCTTCTACATGCCAGCATCCAGTTATGCCAGCACCATTTGTTGAAGATGCTTTCTTTTTTCCATTGTATAATTTTAGCTTCTTTGTCAAAGATCAGATGTTCATATGTGTGTGGGTTAATGTTGGGGTGTTCAATTTGATTCCATTGGTCTATCTGTCTATTTTTGTGCCAATACCAAGCTGTTTTCAGACTATAGCTCTGTAATAGAGCTTCAAGTCAGGGATGGTGATGCCTCTGGATGTTGCCTTGTTGAACAGGGTTGTTTTGGATATCCTGGGTCTTTTGATTTTCTGTGTAAAGCTGATTATTGTTCTTTCAAGCTCTGTGAAGAATTGTGCTGGGATTTTAATGGGGATTGTGTTCAATCTGTATATTGCTTTCAGTAAGATTGCCATTTTTCCTATGTTGATCCTACCTATCCAAGGGCATGGAAGATCTTTCCATCTTCTGGTGTCTTCTTTAATTTCTTTCTTTAAAGACTTTCTCTAAAGTTCTTGAGATACAGGTCTTTCACTTATTTGGTTAGCATTACCCCAAGGTATTTTATGTTGTTTGTGGCTATTGTAAAGGGCAAAGTTTCTCTGATTTCTTTCTCAGCCCTTTTATTGTCTGTATATAGTAGGGCTACTGATTTTCTTGAGTTGATCTTCTATCCTCCCACCTTGCTGAAAGTATTTATCAGCTGCAGGAGTTCCCTGATAGAGTTTTTGGGTCACTTATGTAGACTATCATGTCATCTGCAAATAGTGAAAGTTTGACCTCTTCCTTTCCAATTTGTATCCCCTTGATCTCCTTTTGTTGTCATATTGCTCTAGCTAGAACTTCAAGTACAATATTGAAGAGGTATGGAGAAAGTGGACAGCCTTCTCTTGTTCCTGATCTTAGAGGAATTGCATTGAGTTTCTGTCCATTTAGTTTGATGTTGGCTGTTGGTTTGCTGTATATAGCTTTTATTGTGTTGAGGTAAGTTCCTGTTATCCCAGATCTCTCCAAGACCTTTATCGTGAAGGGGTGTTGGATTTTGTCAAAGGCTTTTTCAGCATCCAGTGAGATGGTCATGTGATTTTTGTTTCTCAGCTTGTTTATATGGTGGCTTACATTCATGGATTTTCATATGTTGAACCAACCCTGTATGCCTGGGATAAAGCCTACCTGATCATGGTGGATGAGTTTTCTGATGTGTTCTTGGATCCAATTTGCCAGTATTTTATTGAGTATTTTTGCATCAATGTTCATGAGGGATATTTGTCTAAAGTTCTCTTTTTCAGTTGTGTCTTTGTGTGGCTTGGGTATCAAGGTTATTGAAGCCTCGTAGAAAGAGTTTGGCAAAGACCCTTATGCTTTTATTGAGTGGAATACTTTGAGAAGAATTGGTATAAGCTGTTCTTTGAATTTCTGGTAGAATTCTTTACTGAGGCCATCTGGCCCTGGGCTTTTTTTTTTTTGGGGAGACTTTTGATGACTGCTTCTATTTCTTTAGGGGTTATAGGTCTATTTAAATCACTCATCTGTTCTTGATTTAATATTGGCAAGTAATATATATCCAGAAAATTGTCCATTTCCTTTAGATTTTCAAATTTTGTGGAGTACAGGTTTTCAAAGTAAAACCTGATGATTCTCTGGATTTCCGCAGTGTCCATTGTTATGTCCCCCTTTTCATTTCTGATTTTGTTAATTTGCATGTTCATACTCTGTCATTTGGTAAGTTTGGATAAAGACTTGTCTATCTTGTTGATTTTTCTCAAAGAACCAACTCTTTGTTACATTAATTTTTTGTATTGTTTTCCTAGTTTCTGCTTTATTGATTTCAGCCCTCAGTTTGTGTTGTTGTTGAATTCTAATTTTTATGCATGGTGGTCTGATAAAGTACATGGAGTTATTCCAATTTTTTGTATCTGTTGAGGTTTGATATGTTGCCAAGTATGTGGCCCATTTTTGAGAAGGTTCCATGTGGCACTGAGAAGAAGGTATATTCTTTTTTATTTGGGTGGAATGTTCTATAGATGTTTGTTAATCCCAATTGGGTCATAACTTCTATTAGTTCCTTTGCTTCTTGTTAAGTTTCTGTCTAGTGGTGAGAGTGGGGTGTTGAAGTCTCCTACTACAAGTGTGTGGGGCTGTATATGTGATTTGAGTTTTAGTAATGTTTTTTTATGAACGTGGGTGCCTTTGTGTTTGGGGCATAGATGTTCAAAATTAAAACTTCACCATGGTGGATTTCTCCTGTGATGAGAATGAAGTACCCTCCTTCATCTCTTTTGATTGATTTTATCTTAAAATCTATTTTGTTAGATATTAGGATTGCTACCCCTGCTTGTTTCTTGAGTCCATTTGATTGGAAAACCTTTTCCAAACCCTTAACTCTGAGGTAATGTCTGTCTTTGAGCCTGAGGTGTGTTTCTTGTATGCATCAGAAAGAAGGGTTCTGTCTTTGCATTCATTCTATTAGCCTGTGTCCCTTTATGGGCGAATTAAGACCATTAATATTGAGGGATATTAATGACCATTGATTGCTCATTTTTTTTTTTGTTTTGGAATGGTTGCTGTTGGTGGAATTATATGTGGATTTCCACACCTTTTTCCTTTTGGCTGTTGATAAGTTGGGATTATCTCATGCCTATATTTTTCTGGTTGTAGTTAACTTCCTTGGGTTGGAGTTTTCCTTCCAGAACTTTTTGTAGGACTGGGTAGTGGATATGTATTGTTTAAATCTGGTTTTGTCATGGAAAATCTTGTTTTCTCTATCTTTAGTGATGAAAGCTTTGCTGGGTATAGCAGTCTGGGCTGGCATCTGTGGTCTCTTATTGTTGGTAGAATAGCTATCCAGGACCTTCTGGCTTTCAGAGTTTCCATGGAAAAGTCTGGTGTGATTCTAATAGGTTTGTCTTTGTATGTTACTTGGCCTTTTTCCTTAGCTGCTTTTAATATTCTTTCTTTATTCTGTGTGTTCAGGGTTTTTACTACTATGTGGCGAGGGGACTTCCTTTTGTGGTCCTCTCTATTTAGTGTTCTGTAGGCTTCTTGTACTTTTATTGGCATGTCTTTCTTTTAGTTGGGAAAGTTTTCTTCTATGATTTTGTTTAATATGTTTTCTGCCCTTTTGAGGTGGATTTCTTCACCTTCTTCTATACCCATATTTCCTGGATATTTTGTGTTAGGGATTTGTTGGATTTAAGATTTTCATTGTTTAATGAATCTATTTCCCCTAGTGTCTTCAACACTTGAGATTCTGTCTTCCATCTCTTGTATTCTGTAGGTTATGCTTGTATCTGTAGTATCTGAGTATTTGCCCAGCTTTTCTATTACCACCATTCCTTCAGACTGTGTTTTTTATTGTCTCTATTTCAGCTTTCAACCCTTGCACTGTTTGAATTGTTTCTTGTAATTTTTGCTTTGTCTTTTCCTCCATTTCTTTTGGGTAAGTATTTGTGCATCCAGTAGGTCTAGTGTGGGTTCCCTCACTGACATGGCAGTGTGTAACAGAATAGATGTCTTCAGCTGAGCAAGCTTGTCACTCCTTCAGTGAGTCATTTGGCATCGCTGACTTGAGGAGAGAAAGACATATTTCCTGGTCACTGCCAGCTGGTTTTATCGCAATGGGCCTGCGGGGAGGCAGAGTGTCATGGTGGCAGGAGCTTGCAAGAGAAACAGCTGCTGGTTTGGGGACAGAAAGGCAGAGAGAGCAAAGGCCTAAGATATAGCCTTCACAGGTCATCTATTTCCTCCAATCAGCTCCCACCTCCCAGGATTTCTACCACTCCCTAGGGGTCCATTCAGTGTGAATAATTCAACATATTAATCCATTGATCAAGTCAGTATACTCATGAATCTGTTCACATCTCCTAGAACCCCATCCCTGAACACAACCCTGAGTACTGATGCCTTCCACAGATGAGCCTTTGGTGGGGAGGCACTTCCTCTTCAAACCATGACACTGGAGTTTCTGTCTACCCACAATGCCTCTGACTGGTCCTGCCTGGGTTGGTGCCATTTTTCCACCTTTCACAAACCTGCCTCCCTTTATTCTTCAGTTTCAATGGTTTTTTTCTTCCCATTGAATCCTGGTTCCTTAGCTGTCTCTTGGGCGTCTTGCAGAATTCCCCTCCCAGCCTCCTTTCCCCTCCTTGCCTCTGTTTCATCTGACCTCTCACCAAATTTACTACTGGATTTCTACACACCATGGTTTATCCAGAGTGTCATTTGGAAACTTTCGATTGTAAAACACTTTTTCTTGTGTTATTCCAGAAGCCACAGCATTCTGGGCTCTAGGTCTGTTGCCTTGGCAATGTATCAGGTGTCTGCCCTAGTCTCTGAGTGAATCTTACTGGTGCTGTGGAAGAGTGTTACACAGGCAGCTTGCTTTTTTTCTGAAGACTCTTCCTTTGCCTGGTTTTCTATCCTTTCCTCTGCCCTATTATATATATTAACTGTTGCACTGTAAAAAGTTATGCAGCATTTTCAACCACTGTCTAACAGTTTCTGGGACTTAGGAACAGGAGCAGTTTGGAGCATGGCTCTGGCTCTGCAGGGCCAAGCTGTCACCAGGATTCATTTACTTGCAGGCGGGAAGCCTCGTTGGAAGACAGCTCCCACCAAGAGTTGTTGATAGTTGACGTATGCTCCTGGCTCCTTACAGCAGGCAGCTTCCTTCCCTGCATGGGTCTGCAAGAAAGCAAGGAGGAAGCCATGTGTTCTATTTTATCTCCTAGTTTGGGGGCAACAATCCATTCCTTTCTCTGTGCAACCCAGAGAATTGAGTCTTTCCCCAAGGGAAGAACATGGCTTCTCTTACAGAAAGAGAAGAAGAAGAAGAAGAAGAAGAAGAAGAAGAAGAAGAAGAAGAAGAAGAAGAAGAAGAAGAAGAAGAAGAAGACATCATCATGTTAATCTCTATCTCCCACCTTAATGGCAATTCTGTTTTGTTGTTGTTTGCCGTTTCATTTCTACTTGTTTATTGTGCTAGAGTCTCCTGTAGCTCAGACTAGCTTTCAACTTCTGATCCCGCCTCCTCCTCTCCTGGGCTAGGGTTATAGGCTTGGGCTGTCACCCCCAGCTCTCTCATATCAATTCTTAACTGATGAAAGGTAGCACCAGTATTGCTTTCTACCCCTTAAGGCCTCACGGTGACCACCGCAATGGGAACAGAGTAGCAGAGGCCTAAGAACCAGATAACTGGCCATCTAGTCAGGGTTTCTATTGCTGTGAAAACCATGACCACAGTCAGTTGTGGAGGAAAGGGTTTGTTTCACTCACATTTCCATATCACAGTCATCACCAGTGCAACTGTTTACCATCAATTGAAGTATGGCCAGGAACTCAAACAGGGCAGGAACCTGGAGGCCATGGAGCGGTGCTGCTCACAGGCTTGCTCAGCCTGCTTTCTTTTAGAACCCAGGACCACCAGCCCAGAGTGGTGCTACCATGGGCCTGGATCCTCATTCTTCAGTCACTGAGAAAGTGCCCTACAGTCTTGCCTAGAGTCCAATCTTACGAGACATTTTCTCAATTGAGTTCCTCCTCTCTGATGACTCTAGCTTGTGTCAACCTGACATAAAACTATCCAGGACGCAAGCTTCCTCCAGTTCTACAGCAGATACCCTCTGTGAGGCAAATCAGTCCCAGGCCTTGTTTGTCCCAGTACCACTTGCTAAGACTTAGGTACTCTTTAACATTCTTTTTCAAATCCAAATTTGATTTTGATTTCTATATTCATCTTATAGGAAATTATTACCTAACATTTGATCTTTTTGAAGTAAAAAATGAAAATTCTAGACTTTTGGAATCTCAATCACTGTAAAATACACTTAACCACATATAGTGGTGATAAGGGTGATGATAAACAAATGCTTACAAATGTCAACATGCTGTCATATCAGGCACTGTGTATGAAGCTTGAAGGAGGCCTACATGGGCAGTGCAGTATCTTGATTCACTTCTCTTTCTTATTTTTTTCTTCTTCTATAGACCAGGCTGGCCTTGAACTCAGTTTCACCAGCCTTTACCTCCCAGTGCTAGGATGGAAAGTGTGCATCACTATGTTACACACACACACATACACACACACACTTCCATATATATGGAGAGAGAGAGAGAGAGAGAGAGAGAGAGAGAGAGAGAGAGAGAGAGAGCTGGGTTATCACTGGCTGTGCTCTAATGCAGGATGTCCTTGAACTCTCCAAATGCACAATTGCAGGAGAGTGTCACCCTGTCTGGATTTCTTGGTACAAGTCTTGAGTACAATGCATACCTAGGAGCTATTACCACTGTGATGACAAAAAAAAAAAAGGACAAGGGAGACGACTGTCAGACAGACAGATAGACATGGGAGAGGATATGGGGAAACCAAGAAAGACTTCACAACAGCTCCACCGCCATGCCCAGGGTGGGTGGCCTGGCCGTGAACACAGGCATCTCCTTGGGGTATGTCACAGCACAGGCACACAGGGGGACACATGGACTCTCTGTTCCTTTTGATCCGAGCCTTCAGATTATCGCATCTTTCCCTTGTGATCCTGGCTCTGGGCAGCCCTCTGAGAGCCAGCTGCCCCCACCCAGATTCTCTAACAGGAAGGACTATACCCATCATAGCATACAAACAGCTGAATCTCTCACATTCATTTTCCTTACTATAAACTGACAAGACGGTGTGCTTGGGGCTTTGTTTGCTTGGCTAAGGTGTGTACAACCCTGAATAGGAGGATACAGACCTGGGAACAGACTCAGGAGCCACCTCTGGGCTTAGGGGTTCAATGGTGGTCTTTGGGGGACCCGACAGGTACCCCCAGCTGTGTGCGTGCCCTGCCCTGGTAGACTGTACTAACTGCTTGCTCAGCTGTCTGACTCCACAGGGAGCCACCGGCTTTGTGAGGACAGGGACTTTCTGACTTCCTGACTGTTGAAATGAATGCATGGAAGGACTTGTCAAATGTATCTGTGGACTTTTCCAAGTCATCTCCTCAGTGGCCTGCAGCACCCCGTAGACCAGCACCCTGCTGAAGGCGCCTTAGGAACTCTTGTTCTGTTTCTCTTCACTGCTCTGGGTTTGGAGCCTAGTCCAGTCCTAAATTCCTGCTTGTCCCTCTTATCTAGCCTTCTTTGATCAGATGGCCTTTCCTTCCCACTTTTCTGCTGTTTTGTTTGTCTGTACATGTGGTTTGTATTACACTTCCCTTTTTGGCTCCTATTTCTGTTCACTTAGGCTGCCCCGTCGCTGCCCCGTCCACCCACTCAGGTGCCCCTTCCTCTTCTTGCCCTCACCCCCCAAGTCTAAAAGCCTGGTTGGCTGCTGATGACTGCCTGTTTGCTGCACAGTTCTTTTCCACGTCTGAGGAATTAGATGAGATACACCACCAAAAAATACAAAATGGCCAGCTTTACAGTACAGTCTTCAGGAGACACGTGACTGTCAGGAGCGGAGCAGGAGAGCTCCTATCCACATCGGCTGGCTTTGCATTTGATAGACGTGTTTCTCAAAGGGAGCTTACAAGATTAGGGATCCCGAACCCTGCTCTCCTCTGGCCAGGAAGATGAACCTTACCATACCCCGAGCCTGGGCCGGCCTGGTAATGTCAGCAGAACCGGCTGTGGGCTTCTCTGCCCTGACGCTTTTCACAAACCTCTCTGCAGCTCTGACGAAGCCCTGCAATTCTTCTGGTTTGTGGGCTCTTTAAGGAAAGGGGTTTTGTTTTCTTGATCTTTGAATCTGTCACACCTGGCACATACTTCCTAGCATGTAATGGTCCCTCACCATTGTGAGTGAGTGAATTTAAAAAATGCTTACAGCAACTTCTAGTTCAGGTTCTGGTTTGCTGGGCCCTGGTGGTGCATGTCTTTAACTCCAAGGTGGATCTCTGAGTTTGAGGCCAGCCTGGTCTATATAGTGAGTTCCAGGACAGCCAGGGTTATATAGTGAGACCCTGACTTGAAAGAACAAACAAAACAAATGTGCCCCACACCGCACCCAGCTCCTGGCTCTGCTTACCCTAAGAGTGGCACTTGTTACAGGTTAGTGTGACTTCTCCCCCACTTGCAGGACGTCCACTCTCCTCTGCTTTGCTGTCATATTGTGAGGCAGCTAGACACCAGCACCATGCTGTCGTTTAGATAGTGCAGCCACCGTGAGCCACACAAATCTCCCTCTTGGATAAAACGGAAGCGGCAGGTGTTTGGTTGTAGCAACGCATGACAGATTGAGACAAACCGATGCCGAGGTCGTACCTGGGCGCATGAGGGTCTGAGTATGGACCCCCAGCATGCATATGAAAAGACAGCATGTGTGTGTGTGTGCAATCTCTGGGCTGGCGGACACAACACATGTGTGCAATCTCTGGGCTGGAGGCTCCCCATCCTCATCGGGTAGCTCACTACCACCTGAAACTTCAGGGCCAGGGAATCCAATGCTCTTTTCTGATCTCTGCAGCTGCAGGCTCTCATAACACATACCCCATCTGGTGGTTTGAAGGAGAATGGCACCCACAGGTTCTTATATTTAAATACTTGGTCACCAGTTGGCAGAACTGTTTGGGAAGGATTTTAGGAGGCGTGGCCTTGTTAGAGGAATTGGGAGGAGAGTGTCACTGGGTGGGGAGTGGGGGCGGGTTCTGGAGGTGTTCTCTCTCTTACCTTATAAATGTGGATCAGGATGTGAGCTCTTAAGCTGCTCGTTTGCTCTGCCACCATGAACTCTAACCCTCTGTAACCCTAAGCCAAATTAAACACTTTCTTCTATAAGATGCCTTGGTCATGTTTTATCACAGCAACAGAAAGGTAACTAAAGCATTCCACATATAGACACATAAATAAAATAAGTCCTGTTGAGTGCAGCGGTGCACACCTTTAATCCCAATACTCAGGAGGTAGAGTTTGGCTAATCTCTGTAAAAATAATACTTTGTAAGATGCCTTACACAATGGAATAAGCAGCACTAACACGCACAGTTGTCAAGCAGAAGCCCTCGGGTGTACTAAAGACAGTCGCATTGACAAAACGCACAAAGCTTACTCATACAGAGCAGATCAGACAAGGAAATGTGGAGATACGTGTGGTTGGTTCCTATGTACACCAACCTTTGTAACTACGCTCATCCACAATACCACAACTGGTGCTAGAAGTCTCCTGGGCGAGATCTGCCACAAAGCTCCCTGGGTCAAACCTGCATACACAGCTGCCCAGAGGTCAGACTTCGGAAAGTTCATTTTTCATAGATACAAATGTACAAAAAGGAAACCTCTTCATTTTGTGAAGAAATTTCAATTTTTGAAAAAAATTCAGACTTATTTTATTTTATGTGTATGCGTGTTTTTCCTGCATGCTGTCTGTGTAGCACGGGGGTCCATGCTGCTCTCAGAGGTCCTGGAACTGGAGTGGTTAATGGTCATGAGCTAGGGAGTGGGGGCTGGGAACTAAACCTGGGTTCTCTGCAAAAGCGACAAGTGCGCTTAACCACTGAGTCATATTTCTAGCCCCAGAGCTTCAATGATTTTAGAAATATGCATAGTGATCACATAGAAAATGAACATTATGGCTTTCCCTAACTTTAATGTGTAAATAAGACACACACAAAGCAATGGGGCTCTCTAGAAGCCTCCCCACCTTCTATACCCCAGTATTGAATGGGATGGAAAGTAAATTATAAAAAACAAAGCTTGCAATTTAAAATGATAGAAAACGTAAAACTGAAAACGGGGGGGCTGCCCTTCCACATAAAGGCTAACCTGACATAAGAAAAAATAGATTAGCCCATGTGCATGTTCAGGTGAATGGTGACCAAATCTCATGATCTAAACTGTTCTAAAATCATGCTGCACAATGGACAGCTGCTATGCTGTCGTCTAGTTTTATGTCAGCTTGGCACAAGCTGTAGTCATCAGAGAGGAGGAAGCCTCAGCGGAGGAAACGCCTCCATAAGGTCAGCTATAGGCAGGCCTGTCGGGCATCTTCCCCCTCCTGCTGAGGACTGAACCCAGGGCCATAAGCTTGCTGGGCAAGGGCTCTACCACTGAGCTAAATCCCCAACCCCTGGGCATTTTCTTAGTTAGAAATCAATGTAGGAGAGCCTTGCCCATTGTGGGTGGTGCCATCCCTTATGGCTCTGTAAGAAAGCAGACTGAGCAAGCCATGAGGAACAAGGCAGCAAGCCCCACCCGTCCTTGGCCGCTACATCAGCTCCTGCCTCCAGGATCCTGTCCTGTCCGAGTTCCCGTCCTGACTTCCTTCAGTGATGAACAGTGATGTGGAAGCGTAACCCAAACAAACCCTTCCTCTTCAACTTACCCTTTGGTCTGCGTGCTCCACACGGTAGTAACCCTGACTGAGTCAGCCGTCTCAACGGCACAGTCTCACACAATGACAGCTCGTTTCTGTCTTCCTTCGGGGCGTGGTTTCCTAAGACAACATTCATAACTGGTACCTTTTGGGTTTGGCGCAGCATCCTCGGGTTTGCACAGTGCTTTTCAGTCTTCCGCGCTGGGTTGTGTGGGCGTGGCATTTGCAGACTCTGGCCGGCTCGGACACTCACACAGATCACAGGTTTGCAGAAGCCTTCCGGGGACAGAACAGCAGCACGCTTGCGTGCCCTCTGAAGCTCCATGCGTGTAATTACTTTTGAACCAGCCAGGAACTTTACTGGATTCTTGAGGCAAAAGCAGCTTTAATTTATTAAAGTCGTCAGCGTCATCGAGCTAGAAGGAATGTTAGCACAAACGGTGCGGTTAGAGCAGAGGCCTTCATCGATCCTGCGTTGTTCGACAAGCTTAGCCCCAGAATTTGACTT